ATAACAAGGTCATGGCTTGCTGCTGCCTGGTCCTGCTGGCAGAGCTTCCTTCCTTTCTCCTGAAGCTTAGGACCAGACCTCATTAGGAAAAGGTCTTCATTAAAGAAGTATTCTTTTTCAAAATAATAAAGCTGGGAAATATTACAGACGGGCATTCAGAAAATGTTGTTTCGGTGCACTTCAGATGAGCTGCGAGCTGTTTCCTGGAGTGGAATCTGAATTCAGAAATGTGGAAGCTTAATATTTGCTTGAGGAGAAATTGCAACCAATTTTACAAACTGTGCAGTCAGAAATGTGTAATTAATTATGTGTAAGATAATTTAGGAATGGAAGGAAAAAGAAAAAGTTTACAACTTGTTTTTCTCCTTTTTCTTCCCTTAGGTGGCTGATGATGGTTATGGTGTTTCTTATATTATCTTGGGTGAAAATTCTATCCACTTCCACGTCTCCAGCAAAATATCGTGTTCCGAGACGGTAAGAGCCTGTCCTGTGCTTTAAGAAATCACAGAATCACAGAATGTTAGGGGTTGGAAGAGACCTCAAAAGATCATCTAGAATCTGTTCTGAAATCTCCTTATAAAACCATCCTACGCATTGTCTAAAATAATTCAGTAGGACTTGCAACATACAGTTACAATGGTTTTTTTTCTCTCACTGCTTTGTAGCTTTGGGGCTTTTTTGTCTCCACCTGTCTAAGTTTGATAGCTTTATGAACTAACGAAACCATTTTCAATTTTGCTTAGGCTTTTAACTGTAAAGAAAGCAGGTGGCCCAAGGTCACTTTTCCTCCGGAACTCACGTAACATGGCTCATGCCTGGCCCATAAACAGCGAGATGGGCTTTTGTTCTTGCTGGTTTGCTTTGATTTGTCTCCGGCTTCAATTGTTAAGACCGACTAAAACGTTTGCTATTCTTTAAATGTTGGTTTAAATAACACTGAAAGAAGCCGGCCCGTAAGTTGCAATCTGTGCTTGAGAAATGTAATTAATAAAAAATCTGTGAGAATAACACCCGTTGTTAGGATGTAACAGACGTCACTGTTCAATCTCCTGCTGTTGTGGATCCTGCTTGAGCGAGCTTCAATTCATCTCTCCCCTGTAGATTTTGATGACTTTAAGCTGCTGAGTTTGTTCCGGATTACGTAGCCAAACTAGTTTTCCTCATTTGACCTTAACTTGTGTGAGCGATCTTGGTGCCTTTGGTTAATGATCAAAGATTAGGAAATACAAATCTGTTACTATGTAGTTCAAAATGTTCTTCAGATGCCTGTTAGTTGGTAGTTCGTATTTCCCTGGATTTTCCACTTCCTAGTCAGGCCAAAGGCCAATGTGGAAAAGGCAGCATTTCATGTGGGTGGCCCTGATATTAGTAGGGTCTTTGTGGCAGGTACTATACCACAGCTAATAATTTGTGTTTGTAATCCTATTTTTTTCCTTGTGCCATTCCTCCAACACTTAGACTACATGGAAGTAGTTTATCATTTGTATACACTTAGATCACTGTGATTCTCATTTTCAATGCTTTATGTAATTTTTCAATGACAAATGATTCCAGATTCTGACAGGTACTCAAATACAGGATATGTCTCTGTATTCTTCTGCTCCTTCAGTACTTCTAAGGTCATTAGTCCTACGTAACATTCTTTCATTTTCTGAAAATTAGCTTCTGCAAAATCTCGTACGATAAAACAATACTGAAAGCCAGCTAAAGTCACAGAAGGCTACAGACGCATCTGATTTCAAAAGGAGATGATCTCAGTTCTGTCAGTAAGGAAGTAAATGCACAATGAAGAGCTCATCAGTCACTAATAGCAAAACGAATTAATTTGTATAGCATTAAATTTTTTGTGGTTTAAATTCCCCATTTTATGATGAAATATGTGCCCTAATTCCACAAGCTTCAAAAGTACAAACTGTTAAAAGATTCCTTCTTTTGGGTACAAGGTAACTGGTGATTGATGGTACAAGTCTTTGGTTGTATTTTTTGTTTGCTTGCTTTTAAAGGATTCTCACCGTTTCGGAAACAACATCCAAAAAGCAATGGTTGACATCATGGCTTTGTTTAACCCTGGTAAAAACTGTACCAAGTGATTTGCGTTCCTGGTGCCAAGCGATCTCCTGGTGTCAGGATGAGAACTCTTCTGCACAGCGAATGAGAGCAAGGTTTGTCAAACAGCAGCTGGTGAAATAAAGGAGGGAACATCATCTTGATCACCTACAGAAACCTTAGCAGTGTATCAAATGTTTCATTATTTTATTTTTTTTTCAGTAGTTTGGAAGAGTTTATTTCCACAAAGGATGACTTCTGAAACCTTGTATGTTCCTAGGGATGAAGTACACTGTCATTGCATGAATCCTTGTATATTCTAACTCCTGCCATTTTCTCTTTGTTTGTATACACTCGCTCTTTTTTTACCTAAAATTAGTCTACTTGTATTCCAGAATCAAAGGGATAAAACACACCGTCTTAAACTCAAATATTTTAAATAGTTCGATTTGCTATGTAATAGCTATGTAATAATAGCAGAATGTTCTTCAGTGTATCTGCTCCTTCATGTCAATGAATGGCGAAGCTTGTGGCTCTTTACCTTCATTGGGTTCTGTGGTGGTTTGGGGGGTTTTTAAGAGTAATTTCTGTAAAACACACCAAAAAAATTCTGTTATATGATCCACTGCAACATACCAACTTGGGGGGTTGGGGAAAAATATAACAAACAAACATTGGGTAGTACTACACTGGGTAGTAAAATGCATCACCTAATTAGCAGATGTCACATTTTTCTTATCATTAAGCATGTTTGCCACACTGTTGCTTTTATTTCCATGTAAGTAAATGGCCCTGTGTGCTTGCTCATGCGAGTGCCTTTGAAAAAGAAAGATCCCAAACGCAGAAAAAACATTTTGTGCTGGGAGTTGGTTTCACACTGTCATAGTGGTGAAGGAGGTGAAGCAGTCGTAACGCAGATCTGGTTTTCAAATTCTAGATTGCATTGATGCGGCGTAAGTAGACGTGAATGCACTGCCATAAGCTCTAATGAAATGCTTCCGTAACTAAAAGCTGCGTTTCAGAGCTACAGCTACGGCCGTGTTTGCTGGGTGAATAGTCTTGGCCAGAGTTTCTGGGTGCCGGGGAATGTCAGTCGGGGTGACTGCACCCGAGGCCAGTGCCCAGGGTTCTGCCAGCTCCCAGCCTGGAAGGACTGCGGGGATGTTGCTGACCGTCTGCAGGAGAAGGGCAAACAGCTACAGCTGGGAAAAAGAGCTCCGGAATGGGATGATCCCGACCTCCTGAAACCCCTGCTGGGAGATGCTCTTGGTCTGACAGAGTTTCTGAAGGAGGGAGGAGAAAGCTACTTCACTCAGAAAAAGAGCAGAATGTTTCCAAGTGCAGAAATAAAGAGGCTACTACAAAGCGGAGTAACTTTTTGTGCACCTGCTTCTCTTCCCCAGGCTCTATAGCTGCGGCTACTTCTTACATCCTGCAGTGCCGTGAAATGCGTCTGTTAGCCCAACAATTTTTTTTTATGTTCTGAATGTGAGGTACATGGTGTTTAGTAATACAACGAATGCTGCTCTGGAGCTATGGCGATTTTTAAAAGGCCTCCAGGGTTGATATAAAACTTCTCCTTAGACTTTGAATGTTTTCTTGGCCGGTATTTCCAACTTTCTTTGCCCCTTCTTGGCTGTTCGCGGCTGGGGGGGTGGATGGTTCTCTGTGATCTAGCTGTTAAAACACCTGAATAAGTGTGCTCGAGGTGGGAAGCCTCAAAGATCCCAGATGCACATTTAAGGTTGGATTACGCAGTTAACTGAAGCAAACTCATGCTTAGATAAATGCAGGAACCCCGACAGGAACTGGCTGGAGACTCTCGTTATTCATTAACTACACCGCGTGGGAAAGGACACGTAGAACTAAGCCTTACTGTGCCTGGCAGGCCTGGCATTTAGCAAATTGCCGCCACAATTCCATAGTGATTTCTTCTTCTGGAGCTGCAGAAATAATGCATTGGTTTGTTTTATTGACCACTGACCAGTCTGTGCTTGAATTAACGTTGGGGCATATTAGCTTGCAGGCTTTTCTTTTTTTAAAAAAAAATAAAAAAAATTCTTTAGATTTGACTCTCAGGTTTTAAATGTTGCAAGTTTAATTGTAGTTAGTGCAGATATCAATGCAATTTTACATTCTTAGATATTAAATATAATTGGCACAGAAAGTTGTTTTTTTTTTTATTGTAAATGTTTCAAACATTTTTGTGGTGTTAAATGTATTGTTTGGGGGTTTTTGGTTTGGGTTTGTTTTTTTTTAATTTGGGATAGAACATAATTCCTAAACTGGTAAGATATTATTTCAGTTTCTTTAAAATGTTAACAGCATGTAAATAAAATTTGCTTTTTGGATGTAAATCTTAGAAATCCACAGTGAATGTAGGTTATTAATAATTAATTTAAATCTTGATGTTCAATATGGTGTACATACAGTAAAACTGCTTGCTTTTTTGCTTAAAAGCCATAGGAATGTAACTAAAATGACCTAGATTTGAATGAACCTTCTAGTACAGTGTACTTTTAAAGTAAAATGTTTATATTCTAAGAAAAAAAAAGCCACTATTAATTTGTTACTTAAATCTTGAATTGCTTTTTCTCAGTTATTCTCAAAGTTAGGATTGAGTAGGGGGTAAAAGTCAGGCTGGATGTTAATAAATTGATCTGGTTAATAAAGAGCAGCATGGAATTGGTGGAATACCTTGAATGTACGTTTTCCAAATTTCTTATTACAGCTAATTCGTGCGAGAGATTAGGAGAGCATTGAGTGCATTTAGAGGCTACCATTGCCTTTGTACCATCTATTTTCTTGTATAAAATGTATTAATTTAAGCTAGGAATTTTTTTATCTTGTTCTGTTACTCTACATTTATGGCTGGTTATTTACATTCAACCCTTTGTCTCTATTTTCTACCCTCCTCTGTGACTTCAAAAAGAAAATAAAAATTTTGCAATTACCACTACTTAGTAAAATGTGGAGTTTTTTAATTTTTCTTTCCTGGCTCCTTCGCTCCTGTTTCTGCACTTGTGAAACCGTTGCTGTTCAATCCAGTCAGGAATAGTAGCAGCAGCAGGCTATTCAGGTTTTTAGCCGTGATTTACAAATGTCTGCCTGGTTAACAGGCAATGTGCTAAGGAACGGTTTTTGAGGTTCCGTAGAAAGAAGAAACTACATGAGTCTTGCTTGTTCGATTTGCTATGTAATAGAATAACTGCTTTATTCTTGAGAATAACTGCTGGGATGATTCTGTGAAACAGCCTGTCCACAGTTTCAGCAACAGTTCATGCACAGAAAGTTAATGCAAAAACGTTATTCTGAAGATTCCCTGTACCTGAAAATTCCTTTAAAATTGCATTAAAGCTGGGAACTACTCTGAGATGGTTGAAGAGGGTTGTACCCTCTAAAGGTTTATGTGCTTTTTGAACTGCTGTTTAATTAAAAACAAACAAAAAATAAACAAAAAAAAACCCCACCGACCAGTTTTGTGTGATAGATCATTTTCACAGTTGCTTAGTTTGCTCTGTTTCTGGATGTTGCAGCCTTTGCTCTGTGATTTCGATTTCATGCTTCATCCCTTAGATACTGATGGGAAGTACTAGAATAAAAAAACTGCTGCTAGATGAAACCTTTGAGAGGGGAGGAGGAAGCGTTGAGCTTTGTTTGGCTTGTTCTGATTTTTTCCCTGACTTTCATGGCTGCAGGATGCAAGTTTGTAACCAAAAAGCATAAGGAAAAATTTGACTTTTGCTTTCTTCTTGAAGTCGGCTCTTTCACAGAATCGCAGAATGTCGGGGTTGGAAGGGACCTCTAGAGCTCACCCAGTGCCACCCCCTGCCAGAGCAGGGTCACCCAGGGCAGCCCCACAGGAACGCGTCCAGGCGGGTTGGAAAGTCTCCAGAGCAGGAGACTCCGCACCCTCTCTGGGCAGCCTGGGCCAGGGCTCTGTCACCATCACCGTGAAAAAGCTTTTCCTAATATTTTTGTGGAACCTCCTATGTTCCACCTTGCACCCATTGCCCCTTGTCCTGTCATTTATAAGCACTGGTAAGATTCCTCCTCAGTCGTCTTCTCTCCAAACTGAAAAGCCCCACAACCCTCAGTGAGCCCAGGTGTCACAACAGCCTGAGGGAACTGCGGCGGGTTCTCTCCAGCTTTTGAATCTGTGCTGGAGGAAAAAGTGCAGGCCAACAGCGGGTAGTCTGTCATTATAGGGCTAGAAGATGGATTAAAAACGACTTTTGCTTCCCTAGCACATCTAGTTTGCGTTAGATTTGAAGCTGAGCCCCGGCTCTGGGTGCACTGAAACGAAAGAGCGAAAGCCACACCGTAAAACCGCATCACTGGGTAAAAAGGACGGTGCCTGAAGAATCATAGAATCATAGAATGGCGTAAGTCCAACCCTACTGCGCAGTAGTGGCACAACACAACCTCTTTCTGTGAGGGTTCTAAATTTACCAAGTGCACCCTAGAGAGGTTCTCCTACAGTTTGCTACCACTTCAGTAACTTCATGGTCCTCTGAAAAGTTCACGTATGGACACAAGGTCTGTAAATATAATCCTAGAATCCTAGAATGGCCTGGGCTGG